ACTTTATGATGAAATCCTCTAATTTTTTTACTTCTTAAATATCTTCCATAATAACCGAACATGTCATGGTAAATTAAAAGACATACAGTATCAACAGAAAGTACGTCATTTGCGTTATACGAAACATTTCACAAGTCATCTTGATAATCCGGTTAGTTTTAGTGCAGAGAAACCAAATTTCACTCAGATTAGTTATTTACTTTAGCCGGTTAGCTGAAGTGACCTCAAACCAGTAGAACTAAATTTCAAATTCATAATTTGCAATTTACACAGTTCGAATGATGAAATCTCACCATAGCAGTCTCCATCGGAAATCAACTTATTCAAATCACAATACGTAATCTGTTTGATACCATCAGTGGCAATCAAGAATTTATTAATTCATTTCGGCAGTCGCCTATCATTGATATCAACCAGCAGTATGGTGAGACGAGTTCGACCAATTAGCTAGCCAGAAATCAGGTGGTTTATACTGATTCGACTCTCTGAGCTGAGCCAAACTGGGTACACCGCCACTGATGAGCTCAGTCTTAAACGAGAGAAACGGCCGTCTGGTGTTTACATCAGTTCCTTCTGGCTAACTGATAAACACTACTGGTATGGAGTGTGTCACTGATAACATTTATCAGTAGTATATAAAGGGACGTCCATCGGCATAAAAATATCTTATAGTGGCGAAATAGATTTGATGTCAAAAAGAGCAAATGAACCTGCATTGAGACAAAACACACGAGACATGAAAAGAAGACAAAGAAACATGGAAGATCTGTGTAAATGACCACTTTCAGATAAGGTGTACATAATTTCGCCTCATAGAGATACTAAATTCCAAATGAACATTCGGTTACGAAGTCTCTTGTCTTCTACCGTTTCACCGATTTATAAGAGTGTTGTGCAACTACTTATCTAAGTCAATCAGTAGTGTGCGGTTTTATAAAACTAAATGTCTTTATTGGGCTTGTTTTTTTTCCTTCACGTTCCCAGTGGAATATATAACTTGAAGTTTCTGTAGCACTGGTGATTATTTTTACAGGATGGGGTTGCTATCCTCATGCCCAACCTTTCCTCTTTACCAGCATTATTTCTAGCTTAGCGAGGTAAAGGAGTGAGTCGGCCAGGGATTGAACCTCGGACCATGTGCATGGTCGGTGAGCGTCCTTACCACTGTGTCTCTGACGCGCACTTGATTTATGTTGGTGGTTCTCAACCTCCAGTCTTTTTCATTGGCGAAACAGAACAACTAGTTTACAAAATATCACTTTTTTTGTTGAGTAAATGGTAATTTGTGATCTAAACTTTTTGATTGTCAAAGGAAATCACAACGATGACTGGTATTGATGAAAACACCTACAGTTGAACAATAAATAATCCCATTTCAGGAGTTTACATTTCTACCAAGAGTTTTTTGATTCATCAAAAAATTAATTGTGTATTCAACTTCAATTGTTTCCTTTGGTTCCTAGAGGAACATAAAGCTTCAGCTACACATCTCCATTGCGTTCGGTTCTCTACCAACGTTTTCACCGGGCTCCACGTCTGCCTACATACTTTCTTCTCCTCTTTACATGATCTCCTCCATGTCACCCTCGCACAGACGAACAACTTACCCCTTCCTATTCAGGTTCCACTTGAATTGTGGCCTGGCGCGTGATGTCACTCACTCATAGTATGACCAATCCACTTCCATTTCTTCCCGCATATTTGTTGCACAATTGGTTCTTGGTTGGTTCGCTCCCAGAGATCCATCTCTGTTGCCGATCTTATCTGGCTGGCCATCTGGTCTTGAGTAGTATTGAGTGAAGACAGCTGTTAATGAAGGTCTGTAGTTTTTCCGAAGTGCCATTCGTCATGCGTCAAGTCTCTGATCCGTATAGTTGCACTGACTTCACATTGGAGTTGAAAATCCGGATCTTTTTTTTCATGTTGAGTAGTGCTGTTGACCTCCACACAGACTTAAGAGTAACGAAAGCTTGTCTTGCTTCCCCGATCTTTGCTTTGATATTTTCATCAGTTCCGCCAGTAGTTGAAACGATGCTGCTCAGATAGGTGGTAAAGGAGGCTGCTTCTTTTAAATTTCTCCCATTTGTGCTTATTGTTGTCTGTTGTTGTTGTTGCTGTTGGCCAGGAATCTTCATCACCACCTCTGTTTTTTCTATGTTCACCTGAATTCCTTGCTATCTTTGATGCTTCTTCTGCCAGCTTGTTGCTTTTCACTTGCATATCTTCCAGTTTGTGGGAAGATCAACTTCAATATATGTATATATATCAAAATTAATAAACACAGGAGAATTACTCACATTAGTTTGTTAACTGAATCTTTTATTTATATGGTAGATTAATGATTAACACCAACACTTGCAACATAATTATAAGCCTTAATTAATTTTGTAAGAACTCTAAGATATTTAAATTCTTCTATAATTATTGATTAGTCAATAAATATATAATAAGAAAACTGCTAATAATGATAATTATTCTGTAAGGATAAGTGAAACTCTAATAAGACGAAGGAGAAATCAGAATGCTGTTAAATTAACTTAAATGATAGTTTCGTCTTTAGCATCTACATACTACTGATTGACTGAAATAAGTAGGCGCACAACACTCATATAAATCATTGGAATGGTAGAAGACAAGAGACTTCGTAACGGAATGTTCATTTAGAATTTAGTATCTCTATGTACACCTTATCTGAAAGTGGTAATTCGCACAGATCTTCTGTGTTTCTTTTTCTTCGTTTCGTGTCTGTCATGTCTTGTGGCATTGCAGGTTCATTTGCTCTCTTTGACGTCAAATCTATTTCTCCACCATAAGATATATTTACGCCAATGGACATTCACTTCTCCAATGGACTATTATGTAGGAAATATTGATTTTCCCGTTAAGTGACTGGACCGAAATGAATCAAAAACCAGTAATAACTGACACCCAATACACAAGAAGTAGTCCTCAGAGCCTAAGTGGACTAGTGGATAACATTCTGGGCGTTTGAAATGATGGCTGTCAGGTTCGAGTCTCAGTGAGGACACCATCACTCACTTGGGAATGCAGGCACATCTAGAAGAAGGGCCTCAAAATGCGGATAAAATGCACGTCCTGGATTCGACTACCAGTCACCATCCACCGAATCATCTCAAATTTTTTTTATTTTTTATTTTTTTATTCTTTTTTTATTTTTGATTACAGCTTGATTCCACACCGTATTCTCAGTACAAGTATGGAATTTTCAGCGTGAATTTCGGTAGCCCAAAATTCACAGGCCGACCATAGATATCAGGTGTGCGTCGGCGTGGGCTCGAACCCCGGACCACGTGCATGGTCGGCGAGAGTCCTAACCACTGTGCCACCGACTCACAGACCTCATGGAAGCGTTCGTAGTAGGAGCTCACATGTCATCTGAGACCGAACATTTCCAACCAATCAGTTAACGGGAATATGATAATTGAACTCGAAGCAAATGATAAGTTTAACTCTGATTACGCTTAACTAATTGTTTTAAATAGTTTTCTAGCCAGTCCCATGCCCGGAAAAAGAGGGAGGGTTGGGTCGTGGCGCTAGCAACTCCACCCCCAAAACTCAACCAAACAGCTACAGAAGCTTCAATGCACAGATATATTAAAAATTCTAAAAACTTATACAGTAACCTTATTTTCGCTGGAATCGGGGAAGTGAAATGACGCAGGCTGGTGAAAGCCTTCGGGAAGCCAGTTAGCCGATGTGCAGAAATGAGGAGATATAGAATAGAAGTGTTGAGAATCTGCAGCCAAAGCTCTCATGAAGTGGGAACCAATCTCCTCCAGGATAATGACAACCAGGTTCAACTCAAAAAGAAAGGAGAATTAAAGTCATCCAATGCTATGTGCCTACAAACGTCTCAGCACAAGAAAAGAAGGAGGCGTTCTACAGACAACTACAAACAGTAACGGACAACGTCCCAAACGGCGATATCAAAATCCAGATGGCTGATATGAATGCGAAGCTGGGAGGAGACAATACAGGAAGAGAACTCACCATGTGTCGAGAGGCCCTCGGTGAAATGAACGACAATGGTGAATTCTTCTCAGACTTCTGCGCCTTCAATGATTTGGTGACTGGTGGCAGTGTGTTCAAACACAAGGATATGCACAAGGCGACATAGATTTCACCAGATGGACACACCAAAAACCAGATAGACTTCATTTCAATCTCAAAAAAGTGGAGACGGAGCCTACTGGACACAAGATCGAGAAGAGGAGCAGGTGAAAAGTATAGCAGAAGACAGAAGCAAGTGGAGACGTGCAGTTCCACTAAGAACCCAAGGGAACAATAATAATAATAATAAATAATTGTTTAAAAAGAATTAATTCCTAATTGAAAGTAGTCGAATAATGATAAAAAAACAAAGTGATTTTATAAAATGAATAAATAACCATCTTGTCACCATGCTTTATAAATGAATAACTAAAGTGTGCGTGTCTGTTGATTGTGTATACTTAATTGATATGAATGAATGTTCATAATTTCGGTTCTCGTATTAAGTGTCATGACCTTCCTCAGGCTATTTATTCCCTTATATTAGTATTACTGATTGATCTAAGCTTTGAATAACACCTGGTGTGAAGAGAAAGGGCAATAATTACTTTAAAATAATTCCCTTCAGGCTTTATATTGTAGAAAAGATTGTAATCACTTAGTAGATCAGTCATCAGGTCATTGTAACATTTGAGTATAAAATAATAATGACGATAGTGATAGTGGTAATAATAAACTATAGCTGTCATGAGACGTACAGATCTGATAATATCTTCATATCACACATGTGTTCTGTGTGCAGAAATAAGTGTACATAGTAGACTAATTGAGTAGTAATGAGAACAAACATTCCAGATGATACGATAGTTTTGACTTTTATTATTTATATATATATATATATATATATATATATATGATAGTACAAAATATTCTTAAAACTTCATGGCAAATATTTGCTTCTTGTTAACCTCAGAATTTAGTTTGCTCACTTGACAGAATTTTCCGTTTAAGGATAACATCTTTAAAGCGCAGTGTGTGTCAATGGCACAGCGCTTAGGACGCTCACCGACTACGGACATGATGCGGGGGTTTCAATCCCCTGCCGACACTCTCCTCATATCAATTGGTTGGCATGCAAAATTTGGGCTCTCGATATCACAAGCTGAAAATTCCAAACATGTAGCAAAAATACGATGTGGAATCAAGCTATGATAAAAAAATAAAATAAAAAATAAAAGTAAATGAACATTTTGGTTTGTTTCGTACTTTGATAGTTACTCATATTATTTATTTCATTTCGCTGGAATCAATAAGATCTCATTTCGGTGTATTGTTTTGTAAGGATATAATTGATTTTGATTCAGATTTCATCATCAGGGAGCACTGTACATCTGTTTCTTCCCAGTATACCACTGTTCAGCAATATGTAATCACGACTCCATCAGAGTAGAAGTTAAAACGTTCAAGTTACAAGTCGAGCATACGGCCTCTGAGACAAAATCAGCCGTTTGACATCAATAATTGTTTGTTCTCACAACCAAATCAGCAGATATCATCACACCAATAAAACTTGGATGAAATAACTGCTCTCTGATTTTCATAGGTTCTCCAACAGACATCTCAATGGAGATCTGATTTCATTTGATCCTCAGGTAATGACTATTGATATTAGCAGATCTATGGCACGCATACTATAAATTCTTTCTACTGGATTAGTTTTGACATTCAACTGTCCATTTTGCAATGTTTACTTCAATTCACTTGTAATAGCTGGACAGTCGCTAGCCAGTATCAGATTAATTTTCAAGAGTAAGTTTGTAGAAATTTAATTTAATTCTTTTGTTTCACTGTGATTTTAAAAGCCAATCCATTAGTTACACCTACTACAGTTATCAGACACACTATCGGTCTTGGAATGTCGTACAGAAGAATACTGTCCTTCTAACTGTCCCTTTATTTACACGTATGTTATTTAAAACAAGCAGTAAAAGTTAATAAGGCATGATTTAATGAATTCATCAAATTTCAGTAGGGCTCTTCAGCTGCATACTCCAAAATACACGAATATATATACAATTAGAATTACATTGGGACATATAAAACTGATAAGATGTCATGAAACGCGAACTAAATAAAATAACGTCTGTGTACTTTGAGTACTGTTCACAGTACAAACTATTCTTAAAACTTCCTGATAAGTATTTGATTCTTGTTAACTTCAGAATTAAGTTTGACCACTTGACAGGATATTTCAGTTAAAAATAACATTTTTAAAGCGCCTAAATGAACATTTTTGGTTTGTTTCCCATTCTGGTAGATATTTATATTATTTATTTTCTTTCGCCGGAATTCATAAGGTCTCATTTTGATGTGTTGCTTTGTAAAGATTTAATTGATTTCGACTGAGATTTCATTACAAACCTGCATCAGCTAGGTATTCATCAGGAGATAGAGAGCTCTGAACAGCTGTTTCTTCTTAAAGTAGTACTATTCAGCAATACGCAATCATGACTCCACCTCAGTCAAACCTAAAACGTTGTGCGTCGGTGGCACACCTGTTATAACTCTCACCGACCATGTATATGGTCCGGGGTTCGATACCCTACAGACGCACACTTGATATATATGGTTGGCCTGCAAAACTTGATCTTCCGAAATCACATTATAAAAATTCCATACTTGTACCGAAAATACGGTGTGGAATCAAGCTGTAATTAAAAATAAATCAAAATAAAATATAGTTACAAGTCGAACATTCGGTCTCTTAGACAAAATCAAACAGCCCATGAACTGTAAATTCTGCTACTTCTCTATCTATGGCGTCAGCACCAGACGTCTGTCATCAGTAATTGTCTGCCCTCACAACCAAATCAGTAGATCTCACCACACTGCTGAAACTAGGATAAAATGACTGTTGTCTGGTTTTTATAAGTTCTCTAATGGACATCGGTTCCTGATGAAATCTAAATGGAAATCTGATTTGATTTGATCCTCATGTAATGATGACTCTGACCCAGGTTTCCTCGTTCCTATTATCAGACCTATGACTCACACATTACAAATTTTTACCACTGGATTAGTCATGACATTCAATTGTCCATTTTGTAATATTTACTTCAATTCACTTGTAATAGCTTCTACGAAAGGTGAAAGAAAATGAAAATTGTTTTTCTAGATGAGACCCTTTATTATTTCACAGTCATTCACTTCTATATGGAGCAAAAAAAATACTGTTTACCTCAAGAAGTTTGATAATGAAACGTCTGGGATGAATATTGAAGCTGAAAGAAAACTAAGTCATTGTCATCCTTCCCATGGAGTGAGAATTCTCTATATAATTTTGTGTTCAATATTCTCGTAACAACAGAGATAGATGCGACGTTTGTTACGGCAACTAAACAATATATCTAAACACTTTAAAATAATAAAAAAACTGCGAGGCATTCAGAGCTACAGTATGTCAAACAAACAGACTGATAGCTAGAACGAACACTGTCAATGCTGGTGAACATTGGATCGCTTGCTTGATAGAACTAATCTTCACTGGCGGGAGACAAGAAAACTATCATCACTTAATTGTGTAATTGTTGGCGGAAAATTGGAAAAAACACAATAAGAAGTTTACAGACTTTGGCATAGATTAACCATTGTAAATCTGTTTTGTTATCGCCTGAAGAATAAACAGTTGTGTTACCCAACGATTTTCTGTCATTCCACGCCGATTACAGTGTGTATTAGGCTTAGTCTTCTGAAACCAGTGATAGATCAAAGATTTCTACAATCTAGATATTCGACAAACACTATGCTACGAATATTCAATCTCTGAAATTATTCCATTTCAGTTCGATCATAAATTCTAGTTGTTTTAATATTCAATAAATTTTAGCCACTTTTTATGTATAACCAAATAAACTTTTTGAGGAATAAAAGAAACCATTCATAAATTATGAGCACTAGGTTCGAGCGTCGATGGAAACATCATCACTCACGGCTAATTATAGGTGCATCCAGCTAGTTGACGAGTCCCAAATAGGACGAAATGCAAATTTTCCTGGATTCCACTGCTAGTCACCATCCTCCGATTAATTAACTTCTAATTACATGCCCAGACATCGTAGAAGCATCTGCAGAAGAATCCGACATGTCAACCTGAGACGGCGAGCACTTCAGTCGAATCAATCGACGGGGAAATTTAAAATTGAATTATATCAATAAAATAAATACTGAAATATCCTTAACTCTCTTTTTTTGTGTGTAGAATTCCTATTTAATTAATATGACATGTGTAGTTCATCAGTAAGGTTTAGGAGTGTTATTATTACTATTGGTGTAACTTGATATGAGCAATTATAGGGTTCTAAATTTTCAATGAGAAACAAACCGCACGAAAATAATAATAATCACAATAGTAAAAATAATGGATGACATTCAAGTGGCATATATTCATGCATGTATCCATTTTCAACTGGTTTCTTACATATGGAATACTAATTACTAATTGCCCGTCTATTCGATGTGTACTAAATGGCCACACACACACACACACAAGCTCAAACAGTATGAACAACAACATCATTGAATACATTATACACGCATAGTTTACCGTTTCGCTGTTTATTAGATAAGCAGGTTTTATAATAATAATAATAATAATAATAATAATAATAACAGCAACCTTAGAATCAATCAAGAAAACTTTTTAAACTGGATACATTCACACTGTCGAACTTCTTTTTGTGCTTGGTAAAATGAACAAAGATCTGTTTGCTGTGTGTCCCGATTTGCGTGACTAAAAGAAGTTAAGGTAATTAATTTGTGTGGTATTATTATTATTGTTATAATCAGTATTATTATTACTATTATTATTACCACTATCATTGTAATTATTGTTACTACTAATACCACTACTATTATTATCACTAACAATAATGGTAGTAGTAATAATAATTGCATGAACATAAGATGTGAGACACTGGTGTGTATTAAAAGCAAAAAAAAGGACATCTATATATTCACTCACCTTTCTACACTCTTTTATATCAATTACATCTTTCCTCCCTCAGGCTGTCATTAAGTCTACCACAAAAAAAAAGAAAAAAGAAAAGAAAATTCCATATGGTGAATGATGTCTTCTAATGATAATGTTAGCTAGAAATGAAATGTACTCATGTCTATTGATACTGATCACTGTGAAATAATTGACCATGGATTATTATTATTATTATCACTATTATTTTCTTCACATAGTTCAACATAATTCACAACAAGATAATGTTGTGTTGAATGCACCTGTTATTCAATATACTACCTGTGATATAGTTACATAACTCCAGGTGTCTATGACAGTTTAGCAAAAGCCTGCCACATTGATTAGCGGTGAATACTAATTGATGATTAATAAAGGTATACACACACACACATACAAATTACCATAAAGTGATGTTTAAAAGCAAGATTTAAATAAACCGTGAAGGTAGTTAGTGTCATTCTTACTCACATTATATATGGGAATAACGAATGAGATTAAAGAGAAGGAAGTCTATATGAGCAGGGTGAAAATCGAAGAACATATAGCCGTTAGGTCACCTATGGGTTATAATGAACTGGCAAAATCAATTATAAACCAGAAATAGTGGATTTTATATTCATGCGTAAAAATAAACCTGTTCATTAATAAGGTTCTGTAAGGTTAGTTGTCAGTTATTCACTTATATTCTTAAATAGGCTTTACATACAAGGAAAAGTTTTAATTATGGCTACAGTATGTGGAAATTACTAACTCTGAGGAATTGTTGAAGATAAGAGGTGGGGGAAATGGGTAAAAGTGGGGATAATGAAACAGATTGTCATTGAAACATCTTATTGTTGTGATTATTATTGCTCCCTTGGGTTCCAAGTGGAACATAGGGCTCTAACAACACACCTCCATTTAGTTCTGTTTTCTAACGTTCTCTTCATCTGACTAGCTCGACGACTGACCATGATCTCTTATCTCCTCCTTGCCGCATGATCTCCGCCA